TATATATATATATATATATATAATGGGAGATTACATATGTTTGGTTCATGTTTTGCACATTTTCAAGGAGCGCCAAATCAAACTTGATGCGGCAGGCTGACGCGCGTCTGTTTTCTGAACCAGATGTTCCGATGGAGCCAGTCTAAGTATCTTATAATGTGACCGCTCTGTGATTCTTTGCAGACCGACGAGGCATGCAGATGGTTTGTTCACCAGCGGATACAGCAAACTCCTGGGACAGCTGTCAGCGCGGAGGTACCTGGAGTCTCTGATCGGGAAGCGGGTCAGGTGGGTGTTTGTGCTATGGGGCGATGCCGTCCAGAATGAGGCAAGCGTGCCAATTTTTTAAAAGGGAAAACTGGTAGCTTCAAGCTTTGACGGGAGCTCGACGCTTGGAGTGAAATTTCATGAAATGTAATGTAATTAATCTTAATCTGATGTTCTGAAACAGAGACAATGAAATGTTTCTTTCGATTAGATTTATTAATATAGATTCAGAATATATTGTTGATATAGATTCAGAATTCTAGTATATAAATCCAAGAAGCTATAGGAATTAGATTTTGGACAAAAATATATACTGTGTTTTATAAACAGACGAAATGCTTTTTTAATTTAAATGGGGGAAAAAAAATCCCAAAAATATTCCAGATTATTTTACAATGGATTTAATAGTTAAAGAAAGTAAAGCAAAATATTCAAGAATGCAGCTCAGTCATAGGGTTTAAATATTCAAGAATCTCCTACTTTTCCAAAACACAGCATCTGTTTTCTTTATCAATCTGAAAAACAAGATCAGGATCAGGATTAGTTCAAGAACTAATTACTATGCAACATTCACTTTATACTGTATGATAGTTCTTCTATCTTTATCTTTACGCAGAAACATGCAAACATAATGCTTACATGACCAGCTGCAAGTAACTCCAAAATAAGGATTTTATCTCTGGGCAAAATATTAAATGTGACATTTAAAACAGCCAACAAAGCTCTTATTTTGAAAATATAAAACATGTTGATGTTTAATAGTCCCTTTGAAGTTTTCTGATCCCAATTAGAAAGTGGAATTGCATTAATTGGCGAGAATAACGGTGCAAGGAAAAATGATTTTGTTATTGTTTTTTGTCTTATTGTGTTTAAAACGACAACGATAATTTAATTTCACTAAGGATTGTTCAATCCAACACAAGAGGACCAAATGACATTTGGGATGAAAAGATCTGACCTGCTCAATGATGCATTTTGTAATTGGTTAAACATTTTTAAAGGTTAATTTATGCCATTCCAGCTTTCGTTTTCAAGCCTCCAATACAGCAAGGGTGAACTCAGACAAATGAACATGAGAATAAACCATAGTCTTTAACTGTGCACAGAAATCTGCTGCTATTTAAATTTTGCTGTTATTCTTCTGTTCAGCGATGACCTGATGGAGGAGCCGGTGAAGCGCCACTCAGATGCCATCTTCACAGACAACTACAGCCGCTTCCGGAAACAGATGGCAGTCAAGAAGTACCTAAACTCTGTCCTAACGGGGAAAAGAAGGTAGAAACCCCAAAACCTTTTATAATACTCAAGCACTGGTAGAGAAACTTAATATAAACTTGTTTTTGTACAGTTCAGTGCTATAGAATATACAATGAGAGTAATAAATATGATGACTATTTTTTTAAACATGGATTCATATTTGTCTTGCATGTTTGCATATCTAAGACAATTCTTTACGACAGTGTCTACACTGTAAGCTTAACATCATAATATAATGACTTTCCATCCTAACGCAAACAGCCTAGAAGATCCTGGAACCACCGAACCAGAGGAGTCCAGAGAAGAACCAAACACTTTCCAGGAGAGCTATGATGACATCAATGTAGACCATCTCCTTAACAACTTTCAGCTGGTGGGCACCTTCATGCTTTCTATCCACTTTGCTTTTTTCTCACATTAAGCATCAAGATTGATTTATATATTTTTTTCATATAGCTGTAGTGCAAAATTATTCCGAGAATATTAATAAGACGTTCTTCCTTTCTTTTTTGGCAACAATTCAAACAATACCAAAATTTTTGAGCGATTTTTTTCTTATGTTTTTTACAAGAACCTTTGGTGTTATATCAAAAGTTTACCTGTTTGTCTTTAACATCCTTAAATTAGCCAATTTAATGTAAATCAACAGTCAGGGGAGAGTGTTATTGTCTTCAGCATTAAAAAAGGCTTCCTAGTATTACCAATTCTCTTAATTCTAGGTTGCCTCATAACATGTAGCATAATCTGCAGAACATTTTAAATGTAAATCCCTGTGGAAATTATAGCCTTGCTTTGCTTAATCTTAGAAAATTCAGGGACTATTTCGTATTAGGACAGAATTATTGATTCTTTTTTTTGTTGAATCACTAACCTTTTCCTTATTCTCATTTACAGCCACTTTGAGGAGGGGTCCGCGCTCCGATGAATACCTCAACTCATCCTATAAAATGCTACATACAAAAAATAAAATAAATGCAGTTTAAAAAAATGCACACACATAGTATTTAATGCAAAGGACATTGAGAGCGGGAATAATTAACAATGACGTATTTTTCGATGTGGCTGTTTATTTATCCATCTACACAGTATGTGTTTAAACTGTATATACACAGTATGTATTCAGGCAATGGTAATAGACTGCATACTACACTGAGCAACTGGTGTGTCTTTTGGTTGGTAAGAGGTTGCTACAGTGTGAAATGGAAGTTTAATGGAAGGGATATATTCTACCTTTGTTTTTAGGTTTCAATCTTCAAGTAACATCAAAATATTTTTTTTCCCTAAAGCTTCTGAGAAGTTTGTACCATCAACATTAAAGTAATTTTTTTTTTTATTTATGGGTTGTTGTTTTTTTTTTTTTTTATGCACACAACATCCTTTTTTTCAGAGAGGATTCCCAAACTGCAAAGTTAAAAGAAAGTGGAATTTGGAGGCATTCGATTACTATGTCCTGATGTTAAGCAGGACAGAAAGTCCCATGATCTTTCATTTCTATTTTGAAAAAGAAAAAATATGAAAAGCACACATTTTGCCTTTATCATGAACTTGCTGTGCTTCCTGGTTCTCTTAAAATGTAAAAAAAAAAAAAAAGAGAATTCACTGGAGATGTATATACAGTTCTCCAGATTTATTCCCACTGATGGTTAGCAGCATGAAATACAGAAACTTTAAAACAGAAGTGCGTTGCATATACAACAATAGTATGAAATGCATATTAAATTAACTTTGAAAGTAAATTGTTGGTGGTATAAGAATTTTGAACCTTAACTTTTAGTGACTGAAACTATTGTAACTATAATCTTTATTTTAAAAAACCTTAGCTAAACATTTGGTTAAAAATGTGGTTAATTTGGTGCATTTTTCATATTCATGTAACATGTTTACCTACTGTATATGGTTTGTATTTGACCTGTTAAACAAACTCCACTATCAAAATTAGTGGTTACATTGATTAAATATTTTAATTGGCAGGTCAAAGACTAATTCTGTCTGAGATTTTAAAGAAAAAGCATTTTCCAAATTGTTTTAGAAAAACATTAAAAATAAGAATGTTTACGATCCAAGAAAAAAGTGCAGTTTTGTTGTTTTTAAATGCAAAATTATAAAAATCATAGCCATAAGTCATTTGTTCTATTCATTTCTGTTGATGCATTTTCTGGTTTAATTGCTGAGTGTTTTCAGAGGGTAACTGTGTGATCTTTAGATTATAAAAAAGGAGACTAGAAGACTAAAGGAGGAGACTTTGAAAGGGTATAGATGCATTTAATCACTTTATAGTATTCAACATTTAGAGCAACGACGTTTTCATTGTGCATAGAACTGCCTTCAACATATATAGTGATGTGGATACAACTGACTAAATAAAAGATGTTGGTTTATTTTTCAAGGCTGGGTTGTTTTGTCTTACTGTTTGATGAGGGGGTACAATGATTTACATTCACTTTTCCAACTGAGGCTAAGTTCGTACATTTTCCAATTAATTCAATTCAGTTTATTTATATAGCGCCAAATTCACAACACATGTCATCTCAAGGCACTTTACAGTTCAACCAGATCATACAGTCAAATTGATACAAAGTTTTCCATCTAAGGAAAACCAGTTGATTGCATTGACTCATTGACTCAAATACAATCCCTCACACTAAGCATGCTTGTAGCGACAGTGGAGAGGGAAAACTCCCTTTTAACAGGAAGAAACCTCCAGCAGAACCAGGCATCTGCCGAGGTTGACTGGGGTTCAATGAGACAGAAGCAGAGACACAAAAAGCAGCTGTAAAAGGCGGCCCCGTCCAGGAAACTCACAGCCAGGCAGACGAGCACCGAGCCAGCTCCCATGCCAGAGGACGAAGAGAGCACATCCACTCAGTCACGGTCAGAAAAACAGGACCACACTGGAAAACAAGCCGTTCTCCAGTATCTATAGGGTGTTGATGGAAGCAGCACAGCTGATGTTTCTTTCCAGGATGGCGTCACAGCCAAACAGGAACAGACGAGGCAAAGCTACTCTGAGGAAAAGCAGAGAGAGCAGAACGTTAGAGATTGAACTAACAGATTCTGCAGAATAGGAGAATAGAGAGAGAATGAAGCAGAATGATGAAATGGGGGTCCCTATGTCCTCCAAAAGTCTAAACCTATAGCAGCATAACTATAGAGATAGCTCAAGATAACCTGAGCCACCCTAACTATAAGCTTTATCAAAAAGGAAAGTTTTAAGCCTAGCCTTAAAAGTAGACAGGGTGTCTGCCTCATGGACTAAAACTGGTAGTTGGTTCCACAGGAGAGGAGCCTGATAACTAAAAGATCTGCCTCCCATTCTATTTTTAGAAATTCTAGGAACCACTAGTAAACCTGCAGATTGAGAGCGAAGTGCTCTGTTAGGAACATAAGGAACAATCAGATCTCTGATATCAGATGGAGCTTGGCCATTTAAGGCTTTATATGTGAGAAGGAGGATTTTAACTTCTATAACTTAACTTCTATAACTTCTTTAACTCTATTCTGGATTTAACAGGAAGCCAACGAAGAGAAGCCAGGACAGGAGAGATATGATCTCTCTTTTTCATTTTCATCAGAACTCTGGCTGCAGCATTTTGGATCAGCTGAAGGCTTTTAGCTACAGCTTGTGGACTTCCTGATAGTAAAGAATTACAATAGTCTAGCCTTGAAGTAACAAATGCATGGACTAGTTTCTCAGCATCACCCCTGGACAGGATATTTCTAATTTTTGCAATATTCCTCAGATGAAAAAAGGAAATTCTAGAAACCTCTTTGATATGGGATTTAAATGACAGGTCCTAGACAAAAACAACACCAAGATTTTTTACTTTATTATCTGAAATCATTATCTGAAATCAGAAATTAAAAGTGATCTACTTACGCAACAATAAAACAATGCTTGACACCTATTGAAGCTGTGAATTAAACTCTTCACATTATTTATATCATAATCAGCAAAACCTTTCTGAGCTTCTGCTGATCTTGTTCACTCAAAGGTCAAACGCTCTGACCTCTTCCATGGAGTCACACAGAGGATGACAACACATTTGGATATACGAGTGGAATATTTTTTTTTAACTCTTCTCTGGAGGCAGTTGTAGGATATCACATTAAAGAAGATACCCCTGGTTTTGTATTTAGTTTTACCTTACAACCGCATCAGAGCTCATTGTTAAAAGAAATAGATTAAAATATACTAATGTCAATATAATATACTGGATTCCTCTCTTGATTAAATAAAAAAAAACTCAAACACTCAAATCTGTGAACATACCGGGTATATATCCTACATTTATTTTGATGACCATTATTTGCTTCAAAATACAGCTGTATTACATTGGCTTTAACCTTAAGATATTAAGGTGTATAATATGGTGTATTTGTTGTCAGAATACCTTCAAAAGGCTATTGGTTTGGAGAAATGTTTTAAAATGTCAGTTTATTTAATCAAAATTAGGTCATGTACGATCAGCAGTGGTAAAGTTGGCCAACAAATCTTTTGCCCATAGTTGAAAACTGTAAAAGGTAAATAAAACTGAAAAGAAAACAAAAGCGAGTGGTTTGTCATGGACTGTGACTGTACCGAGCAAGCCTTTATTTCAGCACCATGGACAGAGACAACTGCCTATTAAACTAAGGCTCTATCCAAATGCTGAAAACTGCACACCTAGATCCTTTTGTTCCTTCAACATTTCTGGGCTCATAAACACTATTCAGGGGAGGAAAGGAACTGTTGTGCTCACAGAGTTCATTACCTAGTGGACAAACACAAGAATGATGCTGGTCAAATTGGTACCACAGCCTTCTGGGAAAAGTAGTTATAAAAATGTACTGAACAGCTCAAACTCTTTATTATAAAACCTCAAACATATAGAACGCACATATACATGTTTCAGTCTAAGCAGATGTCACAAAATGAAAGAATATATTTCTATTATGCTCCATGAGGTGGCCAGTGCCTATATAACCTGTCAGGCAAAGGATTATGAGCAGTCATATGGCTCATTGCAGTAACTATGGACATCACGATGGAAACAGTTACAGAAGTTATTTCCATGACTGGGAGTCGGATGTACGTTTCCTCCAAGCAGAGGCATAAAAATGTTTTAGACATACACAAGGCCAAGGCAAGTTTATTCATATATCAGTAGCAAGATAATTAAAATTTCTGTGTATGGGGAAAAAAAAGAAGAGTGCAGTGTCCTTCACACCTTAATGGCAGTAAATTACATTGTTGGGACAGAAACTATGCAGCAGATTGAGAGAAAATAAGATTGCCATACAATCAGTGCCACCCGGATCCTCTGATCACCAACATATTTATAATGAAGGTAAAGTGTCTGGCCCAAGGAAACGATAGGAAAGGATGGAGGGAGGGTTGAAATCATATTTACATTCAAAGTTCTCCAGTCAAGCCCCCCTACCTTCAGGTTTTGATAAGCATTATAAACTGGATCCATGAAATGGAAATATTAACTTTTCCCCTACGTCTCCAGGAGGGGAAAGGAGAGAGACTTTGGAAAAAATGAAACATTTACACAAAGATTAATAATAAAATGCTTTTGCGAGCTTAAAAATATATATGCCTCTTGTGTCTGCTAGGAGTATGCGTGGCTCATGGGTTGTGGGTTAAATGTGTTATTTATTTGTATTTTTGTGATTCAGACCA